GCCAACGAGAAGACCAGGCAGGCGGAGGAGGCGCTGGGCAACGCTGCCGTCGATGCTCGAGAGGCAAAGAGCAAGGCGGAGGACGCCGAGAGGATAGCCAGTAATGTGCAGAAGGTAAAGCGGCGGCTCGTCATTGGCCTGTGTCAGCTCGCCGGTTTCTCTCCTCTCACTGTGATTAAACTCGTGTCCTCGCAGGGCTCCGCCAAGACCAAAGAGGAGGCGGAAAAAGCCTTCCAGGACACCACCAATCTCGACAACGAGGTCAACGACTTGATGGCACAGCTGACCGACGCCGAGAAGGAGCTCAAGGAGAAGAAGGCCCAGGCCGACCAGGACATGATGATGGCGGGGATGGTACGACTCGCTCGTCACTGAACTCCCAGACTCTTTCTCCGGACATTATAAAAAGTTTAACATCCGTGTTCCTGTCCTCAGGCTTCAAACAGTGCAAAGGACGCCGAGGATAACGCCCGCAAAGCGAAGAGTACAGTGAAGACGGTCCTGAAGGTCATCACGGACCTGATGAACCAGCTCGGTAAGAACACCAGTCGAGCTGCAGCACCTGAACTTCTGAGAATGACTCGTTTCTTCGGGAGAAACCATAACGCTGCCTTTTTAATTAAAGAACTGAGCGATTGACGGGGAAACTAACTGCGGTTTTGTTTCGTGTGCAGGAAACATCGATAAGATCGACCTGAGCAAACTGAATGAGATCGACGAGTCGCTGAAGAAGGCCAAGGGCGAGATGGACAAAAGCGACCTGGAGAACAAGCTTAAGGAGCTGAACAACGTGGCGCAGACTCAGGAGGCGATGATCAACGACTACGACCGGCAGATCCGCGAGATCCGCGCCGACATCGCCAACCTCAACGACATCAAGAACACATTACCCGAAGGCTGCTTTAACACGCAGTCCCTGGAGAATCCTTAACCCTAACCCCGCCCTTCTCTTCCTCTAGCCCCGCCCCTTGCCCCACACTCACATCTAACACTCCGGCGAGCACGCCGCCTTTTACCAAAAACACTTTTTGTTTCAGATTTTTTTTTCTTTGACGAGACAGAAGCCGACGTGTGAAACCGTGATCACGTTTTCAGCCGCCGAGAAGCAGCTGATTTTTTTTTTCCCGAGACGCAGGGGCGTGGTTACGCTCGAACGAACTAAACGGCGTTGAGAAGCCGTGCGGAGGAACCAGAACCACGAACCCGACGTGACTGCAGCCGTCTGCTCCACAGCAGGAAGTTTGAGCGACGCAGGAAGCTCTGCCCGCATTTCTGTTTTCTGTGTCCCACCAGCCATTTCCCATCATGCCCAGGGGCGCTTTCGCAGCGTCCGCTCACTGAACGCCACTGCCTCCTCTAACCGGCAAACACAGTGAAGGAACCCTCGCTTTTCCTCTGAAGCTACGTGCCCATGCAAACAGCAGGAGACCTCCTCATCCTGCACCTCCTCCGACAGTGTTTTCTCCTCCAAACAGGTTAAAGATGCAAACTCGGCCGCTCCGCGACGAACCGCAGAAATCCAAAATCATTTCAAAACTAAACTCGTTTCTAGACGACGCATCGCGATGATATCAAGATTTCTCGTCAAGCTTGCAAAAAATTAAAAATGTAAAACTTGGAATATTGAGCCTGAAGATGTAAAGCCGGGAGATTCTCTCGAGTTACGAAGGTAAAATGAAAGCGCCGTCATGACTGTGAGAGATGTGAGATTCAGGATGTTGTTAAAAAGATAAAATGCCGAGTGAGCGTTTTTACCCAGAATGGCTCTAAAACGCTGATTTCTTTCTTGCAATGAGATGAAATCTCGATGTTATTTCGATGTTCTTGACGATTTCCTGTCGCAAGACGATCTGGGAGAGCGACGCGAGCATTGCTGCTCCTCGGTGTCGATAAGCTGTCGCAGGTGTTTGGCAGGAAGTCTTTTCAGTTTTGTGTTTTCGGGGCTTTTCCTGCTTCGTCTTCGGCGCGCTCTCCACGCTTCAACGCTCCCGTCTGGACTGTCACGCGTTAACGCTTCGCTCCAGGCTCGATCCAACACTATGCAACTTTGTACATTTTGCGTAGCGAGAGTTTTATCTGATACACTGGTGCTAATAATAATTATTTCAAATGTTCTATTTTTGTGTGAATGTTTTTTTATTATTCTGACACAGAGTGAGGAACTTTTGTCGTGTGTAAATATCTGATGATTCAGGACGGGCTGATTTTCTCCACCCTGCAAACAGCCTCCATCACAATCAATCAACGGGAACCTCCAGCATAAATATCTATAAATATCTATAAATATGAATATCTCATCACATGTGCCTAGTTATTATTATTATTATTATTATTATGCTTGCTTGTATACAAGGCTCCGTGTTGCTGCCTCATAGCGACACCATTACGTTTGTGTTTTTGATTCTCGTGTTAGTTTTCACCCTCTCACCAATCAGGTTGTTTTTTGAGTGGGCGTGGCCTGCCTCACCAGTCATTTCACTGAATGGAGTTAACAAGTCACATGTGGCTAAAGTAGCTTTTGATTAGTGTTTTTGTGCCTTAATATTAAAGTTCCTGCGAGGGCGTCCATGCTTTCATTTTGTCCTCGTGTCGGTACTGAAGCAGGTTTTTCTTTTTGTTGTTTAAAAATCAGGTCCCAAACAGAATTTAAAATGCCACTAGACTATTGTGCTTTTATTTTGAAACCCCCTCCCCTGACCAGTACTGGGGAGGCTTTTGTCTGTTTTTATTTCCCTCCTCCATCCATTCGGCCGCTCTGCAAGTGGTGCAGCTCGCGTGATGTATAAACAGTATTTTAAGTTATAATGAACCGCTTATTCGTTTTGCACCGCCCCCCACGTCGCCTCAGACGGTGATGTGCGAGCTGCGCGGCGTGCAGGGCCGCACGTCTGCAGCCCTGTGAGGACCTGAACCACCCGAGTGTTTGTTCTTGTTTGTGCCCACGTGCCTGTAAATCCAAACGTAACATTTGAATAATAAATAAATAAATTCCTACAGTTTGTCCGCGTGTGCTCCTGTTTTCTCAGCAGACTGTAACACAAAGAC